CCCCCGAGGAGAAGCGCGTGGCGCGTTTGTTGACCGTCGTTCCGTTCCGGGTTGGAAGAGGTGTATAACGGTGCCGTTATTGCGCCACGAATGGGAATTCGACGATCCCGACGGCGACACGACTCGTTCCATATTTGTTTGCCTGGAAACGGAGCGAGTCGATGGTCGATAAACGAACGGGAACGGGATCGAGAGAGGAGTTGCCGGCTAATTTCTGTAACGCGCGTCGAATAAATCCGTTGGACGTTTGCACGGTTGGGAAAACGAAGCAAGGATGCGCGGTAAGTGCAGTACGCGGTAATTTTCATTGTCGCTCAAAGATCAGGGTCGCCTCGATGCCGGCCGCGCGTTATAAATAAAATCGCTGCTGGATAAGCATTCGTTAACGAGAAATGGGACTGGAATACTGATGCGGTGGAAGGTATACGTTCGTATACCTAGGTGGAACGATCGCGGCCATCGGTTAAACGAGCAACGAACGTGCATCAGAAGAGGAGGCTTCTAGGAAGACTTTCTCGAATAGTTTTTTTTTAGGGTCAGAGGCTAATAGAATATTCTTGCGATCGATCTTGCTTATACGGAGACGGAGAAAAAAAAGGAAGAAAGATAAAAGATAAAAGAAAAAGGAGGAGGAGAAGGAGAACTGTTCGAAAACCGTTGTAGATATCCGCTCGAACGAGATAGCAGAGAGGATGTCGTTAACGATCGAGTCGCGTGTAAACTCGTTGAAGCACCGAATCATCGGTGGCACGTACGAACGGCCAATTAAAAGTGGCGGGCCGAGGCGAGAGAAAGAGAGAGCTCTGGTGCCCGCCAATAAAACCAGACGAGTAAATAAGAAATAATAAAGACGGCCTCGGAGAAGCGAGGGGGAGGGGGACGGCTTAAGAATACGGTAGCCGAGCTAAGTTATATTTGATGCGTTGATAATTTGTTTCGAGATGGGAAGAGGGATGGCGGAGGGAAGGGAGGAGGGGGAGGATATCTGGCTCTCCTCGTTCGAAGCCCGCCTCGTCCCGATCTCACCTTCCTTCTCGCCTTCCCTCTCCTCTTTCGTCCCTTCTTCCTTCTCCTCCTCCTCCTCCTCCTCTTCTGTTACGAGCGGACCTGTCAAGCTCATCATTTATTTCCCCCGACTCCGAGGGCCGAGAAAGTGAATCCTTAGCCCGCTTCCACAGACTTCTGTGCCCAACGCTCGATCTGGATCTGGGGAAAATTGTACGAGTCACACCAAGTTGTGCTAAGGAGAAGGTTAATGGAAAAGTGGGATAGTTTTAGGGGGAAGGGGAGAGTGAATCGGGGAGAAAAGACGATCGAGAGGATTGATCGTGAATTGTTTGTAGCAAGGGAATTATTCGGTTATTATTATTCGACAGATCGACTCGATATCGATTTTGTTTTTTTTTAATCGATCGTTAGAGATTCGGGCCGATCGATGGATTCGGTAGCCGCGCGTCCGGTTTTATCCGGCCGTGCAAGAACGATTATCCGCGGGGGATGAAGCGTGGCGTATCGACATCGACAGGGCCGGTTCCGAAGGGGATCGGTCCCGAACTCCAGAAGCATCGCTCCAACTTCTAATCTCTCTCGAAAATCTCTCGTTCGTCCCGGATCATCCCGTGTCCGACCAGGATCGTCTGAAACACGGATGGATCGTTCGATTTCAGTTTTGCCGATAGTTATCACGAATTAAAAGAAAAACAGAGAAAAGAAAGAAAGAAAGAAAAAAAACATTCTTGTCTCTTCGAATTCGAAAGAATTGAAAAACACGAAACGATCAAATTTAATTCAATATCACGATCACGAAACAAAACTCCGTTTAAACGATAACTTCAAACAACACTAATATTTTCTTTACTTCTGATACTTCTCAATTTTTACACTTTCAACACTTGAAAAACATTAAACTAAGTTAAAACTATACATCCTCTTCGTTCAAGTTTCGAAATTCAGAATTACCTGTCGCCAGGAAGAAAATAGTCTCCCTCCCTCCTCCGGTTCGATTGTCGAAAACCCGATCCAGCCCCCTCGAGGAGGGGGGGGGGGGGACGAGAAGACGAGGAGACGGAGAAAGGGGACAGCTGTCCGTTTCGCCTACACATTAATCCAGCCCTGGTCTTTAGGTATGTAAATGCGTCGCTATATTTAGACCAGTATCTCGGCCTGTATAATACGCTGGGTTCGGTGGATCCTCCGCCGCTGGACACACGCTGCAGGCTTTACAGGTGTGTGTGTGCGTGCACGACTCGCGCCGATACGTACACGTGCGTGCGTTGCAACTGCAGGACCCGCCAAACCGGTTACCCACGCGGCTCGTCGACACCAACACCACACCGTGACACCGACTCCAACACCGAACGGGGGGAGGGGGAGGGGGAACGGGCCCTCTTCCCCCCCCCCTCCCCTCTTCGTATCGTCCGGAACACCGCGGCTCTTCTGTCCTTCGTTCCTCTCCATCTTTCCTCCGCCTCTCCGCCGCGCGGACACGGGGTTACGCGCGATCCAACGCAGAGGTTACACACACCCATCGCGCCACGACGGCTCTTCGAAACCGCGATTCGGATCTCTCCTCGCGAGGTGTACGCTTCGAGGACGATTCGGACGATGCTCTTGGACAGTTTGATCCGCGATCTTCATCTCGACTCGGGTTTAGCTTTCTTGGTCGAAAGGAATCAACGATCTTGGAATTTGGCCATTCAATTTGAACTTCGGTTTTTCGTGGAAACGAAATTTTGATCGATTAAAAATTTATCTTGCACGATGAGATTTGGATTATAATTGATTTAAATATGATTTAAATATCGTAATGTAATGATAGGTCTTGGATGATTTTAAAATAGAATTTCAAAGCTTTTAGGTAATTTACATTTATCGTACGATTCGGATTTGATAAAAGGAAAATTTTTTGTTTACTTTCAATTCATGGTAGAATCCTTAAATCTCGTAAAGATATTGTCTAATGTATCGAGAGGAAGTTTTTCTTAGAAATTTCGATCGAGATCGAGGATAATCCAAGTGTAAGAACGCACGTGCGGACTCGCGCAACGAATGGGCGATTATCGGGGAAACATCCGAGAATCCTGGGCATTCGTTTCCATCCGCGTGTCGCTTGCGCCATAAATATCGCTCGAATACGCGTACGTGCACGTGTATGCGCACAGACCGTGCACCCACGCCACTCCTCCTCGTCCCTCTTTCCGATGCGGTTCGTGCGGTTACGTCAGGTATTAAGAGGCCGTGCCCCCCGGTGACGAAAGTCTCAAGGCTGCTTCGTACGTCGGGGTTCGATGACTCGATGTTGTTTTCGCCGTAAAAATAGCGGGCCCGATCCTCTTCGAGAATCCAAGGTAAAAATTCAAACTTTGCCGAACAGATCTCGCGTGATAATTGTTTAATTAGAAACGTTAATAAACAAGGATGATCGAATAAAAATTTGTCCTTCGTTCTTCTCCGTCTCTCATTACATTATTTACGATATTTAAATCATATTTAATATCAATCTTAATTCAAGTCTCATCGTCCAAGATAAATTTTTGGCGAATAAAAATTTCGTTTCCATGAAAAACCAAACTAAGTTCAGATTGAATGCAATCGCAGTCTAAATTTCATCATCCAAGATCAGCAATTTATCAGATATAGTTTGAATAGTTTCGTGTTTCTTACACGTTACGCATTTTTGTGACACATTTAAATGCGTAAACATTTACTGGGATGAATTTTCGTTAACTTAGAACTAAATGACTCACAAAGAAAGAAAAGAAACGGAAACATATAATATAACCAGTCATTACCAATAATAAATAAAGAAAGAGTTATACGAGTATGATCAGGTTAATTTATCTGAATTATTTGAACGAAAATTTAAAAATGGCAAGAATGATTGATGGATTTCTACCGTATAAACCTACCAATTACACCAATTGCTACTTCCTCGTCGATATTTATATAAAACCAACTTCTATTTTGCAACGTTACTCGATAATCGTTACCAACTTACATCACTCTCCCCAAACTAATTCCCCAAACGCGCATATATCCTCCAACTCACCAAGACTTTCGAATTTCCACTTAACACTGTCCTTCACTGGATCTTAAAACGCGTCCATTTAAACCATCGCTCTTTATCCTACAAGCAGAAGCACACAATAAACACGCATCCTTGGTGTTAATGGAGTGGCCATTGTCGAATGACAGCGAGAGATAACGCGTCTAATCCTAACCTTGATTCCGTCGGATGCCCAGCCACGTGGATGATCGCCGCCAACCCTTTCTTCCCATTATTTACTATTATTTACTATTGGTCGCGAGCCGTTGGTCGGTAGTTGGCGCTTGGCCGCGATAATTGGACGACGAAAAAGAAAGAGAGAGAGAGAGAGATCTCGTGATTCGCTCGAGGCGCGTACACGAGTTCCCTCCGCTCAGCGTCGCCTTAATCCAACCACGGCCGGGTGACTTTTCGAAATTACGAGCCCATTCACCGTTGCACCGTTTCTTTCTTGAACGGTGATCGTTTCCACCTTAGATAACCCTCGGGAGAGAGAAAGAAGGGAGCTCGATAATGATATTTACAATTAGCCATAGGTCGAACGCGTGCGTGCAATCCGAGCAGCGATTAGTAATTGGACTAACTTTTTCCTTCCTTCCCCTTCTTTCTTTCTTTCCACTTTTCAGGTCGAGCTCGATACCCGCCCTCCCGATGCAATTTACTGCGGATTTACTGCGGCGTTGCGTAAGCGCGCGCACGCGGAAGCGCGGCCGGTCGCGTGTAATTTTCTGTGAAATAAGCCACGATCGAGGGTCGAACGTTAATAGATCGTTAAAAAGGACAGGCGACCGTGGACGACGGATTCTCTTGTTGCAGCTCT